GACTGCCCATTTTCCATCCACTATTCCAGTATTGAAAATGTCATGCAATGCTGTCCTTTTGAACTGTTAAAAGTCTGACCAATAGTGTAATTATTAAAATTCTTCTTGTAAAATCAGCAAATTCAGTAGATGATTATGTATGATATGATATATAAAAATAGATGTAAAGAAAATCCATTTGATTTCTCTCATTTCATATATAAATATAATTATAATTCAGTCAAACTCACCTTTCTGATATTGAATGATATTCTCTTTCATAAAAGAAATTCAGTGAACACACTTTCTGATTTATATATTAACAAATTAATAACAAATCAAATAATTGAATAGATATATTGAATTAAAAATATCAATTTAGTATAGAAAAGTATTGAGCAGTGATCTGATTTTAAAACTAAGAGTTTATTTCAATCAATGTTATAGAATTCTCATAGCTTATTGAAAAATGAATGAAGAAATTCAAATTTGAAGAGATATGTAAATTATATACTGACTTTCTCTAACATTTTGCTTGATGATAGATGATCAAAAATCTTTGAAATAATATAATTTTTTGTTATTTTCAATTTGATAAAATAATTTAGCAAATTATCATTCTCATCAGTTTTTTTCATTCATTTTCAACAGATTATTGAACAATGCTGAGCAAATTATGTATAACTTTTAAATTTTCTGAATCAGATACACATCAGATTTGTTAAAAAAATCTTTTAATATTAATTATAAAATTCAATAAACTTCTGCAAAAGCAGTGTCTTTTTCACATTTTAATAATTTATTTATTGCATTAAATTTTTAAAGTTCTGATGCTTGTTTTCTTTCATTAAAACATTGCAATTATTAAATACTGTATATTCTTTAATCTGCTCAATATAATGCAAGTCAATATGTATATTCAGTTGATTTTTTATATTTCATATAAGCTTTACTTTCTTTATATAATCACTGCTGCTGGTATGCAGAGCAACTGTATTCATAATTGAAGCAGAAGATGACTGATGATTAACAATTAAATCAATTCAAAATGATTCAAATATCACTGCTGCTTTGATAACTGTTTCAATAAAAAATTATAGTTGTCAGTGAACTGTAAATATGATTTGATGAGTCATTTTAAAATCATTTTCTTTTAAAGATTGAGACATCAATAAATTATTACTTTTTATAATAACTGTATATATCTGAATAATAAGATCAATGAGTGATTGATTTAATGTTGAAAATGTTATAAAAATAATCTGTTTGATTATCAGATTGAGTTATTCTTTCTTAAACTCATATTATAAAATAAGAGATATAATAATTAAAGTTCAGACATGTTTTTAAAATTGATATTTCTTGAAATGAATGAGTAGTGACTGCAAATGATTTGAATTGTGAGGAAAAGAGAAAGTTTGCAATGTTCAGAAGTATTTCAGCTGATCATACAGTGATAAAATAAAGTAAATCAATAATAAATGTGAAATCTTTAATATTTCAGCAAACTCACTATGATATGAATCAGAAGAGAAAAAAAAAAATTAAAATTAAATTTGAATATATTTGAAAAAAAGATATTGTTTATACTATCATACTTTGCTTTTGACACATTTACTCTCTGCAGGTGAGATTCAGCAGATCATTTAATTTAAATTGAAGATGTTGTATATGATAATGAAATCAGCTATTATTGCATAAATTGTATTTCAGATTCAGTTGATTTTTATCATCAATAAAGCAGCTTCAGCAAAATCTTTTTATGATTGATTCTTTAATCTCTGCATTGTTATTTTGCTACAACATATCTTTAAAAAATGCAATGTAAGATGCAATTACTTTCATCTTTTCACTGATATTCATCATAACCCTCTTACAATTCAATGTAAATAAGTCATGCGACAAAGTAGTGACAGTGTCAGGGAAATTGATATTATGGGAATCAAAGATTAGAGTAAAAATATTGTTTCACTTTGAGCACTTGATAGCACTCAGTGCAGAAATTATATAAAAACCCATTAAGTTTTGATATATATTTTAATATAAATTAAATTCATCAATAAATAATTGATACAGGAGGGAAATTACTTTTATATCAAAGTAAAAAATGATTTTCAATAGATTTTATTTATGTACAGCAATTTCTAAATCAGTTCAAATCAGCGATGATTTGCAATATGATTATATCTCAACAATTTCAGTCTTAATCCTCATAACTCAGTGAAGAAATACTGATCTTTACTCTCATATATCATTGACAGATCGAAATCTGATTCAAATGTTGTATTTATATAAACATCAAATTGATCAAAAATTTGAATAATTGAGATATATTTCATCTCATCTTTCATTGCAATTAATTCAAAGAGGAGAAATGATGAATTTAAAAATGACAGTCTTTATACTGTCTGAGAAGTATGGTAAATAACTTTTTGAACTTTCAGAACTATCATATAAAAGCTTATGTCTGAATATCAGCAATCATATCTGATAAAATACACTCTTTCAATATGAAATATATCATTCAACTCTGATTTGCAATAGCATTCAACATTTCCACACTGATATCAAATAAAATATGAAGGAAAAATAGATTTATTTGTTGATGAATATTTAGGAAGTCATGTGGG